CGGCGCGGGGCCCGGCCGGCGCTCCCCGCGGCCTCGGGGTCGCTCTGAGGAGAGCTTACGTTCGGGGAGAGAAGACAGGAAACGGCCGTCGGAGCCGCCGAGGACCGCCCCGACGCCCAGGCGGCGGGTTCCCCCCCCCAGGCTGGGCCCGGCAGTCCCCAAAGCCTGTGGCGCGGGGTCCCTTCCCGAGACCGCTTAGCCAGGACCCCGCCATCGCGGGCCTGCGGACCGGACTGCTTTGGCCTCACGCGCTTCTCCCCGGAGACCCACGTCCTCGCCCTTTGCAGAAAACCCGAGACACTCCCAGCGAGCGCCCAGTTGCACTTGGTGTTCATGGGTCTGGGGTCGCAAAGCGAAAACGCCTCTGTAGTTTTCATTTAAAATGATTTCGAAGAAGCCGCATTTCGGGCGCGAGGACCCCCAGCGCGCGTTTTCGAACGCTCGGTCTCGCCCCCCCCCCCCCGAGTGATTCCAAATATTGCACCGTCACCGAAGCGCCCCTTATGCCCCGTCCGCGGCCAGGGTCTCTGCGTCCGGGTGGGTTGGGCCGCTGCCGGCTGTGGGTCGAGTTCGGGAAGCGTGAAACCCCGTAGCTTCCCCTTAAATGCATTTCCTAGGAGCCACCAAACGTTCTGGGGCCGCGGCCAAGTGCATTGCTAGGGACCCTCCGGGACTTGGGGTGCGGGCTCGGGAGCGTGGCGGAGACGGAAACAGCCTGCTACCGAGGAGATGCGGGGCTGCTAATCGCGCGCCCCAAGAGCCGGAGAAGACTCGTCTGGGTCTCCGCTGTTTTGCCCGAAACCTTAAACCCAGCGAGGGACAGCGGGTCGGATGTTCTCCAGGGCGAGGGTCAAGTTCGCTTCCTTGGTTGGAAGAGGTGTAGCGACAGATGCACCAAAGACGCCGCTCGGCTAAGCGTCTGAACCCTAAAACCTGAGTTCAACGCCCACAGGAAGGAAAAAAAAAAAAAAGCGAGGAAAGCTTTACGGATTGATTCTAAATCGGCCCACTGGCCATTATGGGTGCCGGGACCCGCGCGCGCTTTAGCTGCACCGCGCCCGGCACGTGAAACCAGAAGCAAACAAAAACACAGCCCTCTCCTTACCGAGGAACTCAAACCAACGGAAAGCAGCTTGCGTGGGCCGCAACTGAGGGGTCCCGGGACCCCGTAGTCTAAAGCGCTTTTGCTGTAAAGTTTCGTAACGTCGTGCGGGAAATGAATTCCGTCCCACCAAGCGCGCTCTCCGCCCGCAACCCCTCCCGACTCTTCCCCTACCTTCCTTAGAGAGAAGGGAACGCCACCAAGCCCGCTTCGAGTGCCCCCCTGGAGGAAAACTAAATTTGACTTGGGTCATGATACAAAAGGCTCAGTGCAAGGAATCTCCGTGATGGCCGTGATGGGCGGATGCGGTACGATGTGCAGGAGGAAAAATTGCAAAAGGACTCCTGACAGGAATGAAATGTCAGTTCTCACAGCGAATTTTAAAAGTGGCATTTGCATAGCTGGAAGGAAAATAAACACAGGATAAACTCATTGACGTTTTTTCTTCTACAACTTTCGGTAAATATATACTCCAGATGGTATCACAATATTTAAATACATTTTTGCTTTCCCCGAACCTTCTGAAGAATATATTATGCATAAAGGTGGCATAAGAATCTCCACCAATGGCTTAAGTCAAATCTCCCTCTGTGAGTAAATGATAGTTCTAAAATTTCATCTCAATGTCATATTTCTGAGAGAATGACTTTTATGTTCAGGGACCATTTACTTTAAAACATCAGAGAAGGTATTTTGCCAGTGCTTCTGGAGCACGCTGCAGGTGCTGATGTCACAGGGAAGGAGAACACTTTAAAGAGTAACTTCTCAATGTGAACACACTGTCCAGTTTTCAACTTGGGGCTTTAATTTTTTCCCCCTGCCCCCAGTGACTTCCTGATTCTTTTTGAGTGATCTCACTGTTGAACTTTAATTCCTTTGGGACAGAAGTCCTTGTTCTTCCCCGGCTTGCTTTCTCCACACTCGGTTTCTCTGAGATGCTATCTTTGATGTCCAGCTATTTCACTCTAACTTCATAAAGCAATGATGCAGCTGGCAGGTAGCAAACAGGATAATTCTAAAGTAATCTTTAAAATTTCGGGATGCTTAGTAAACATTTACCCTCATAAAAATGTTGGATTAGCATTGCTATAATAAAGGTAATAAACCAGGTTATAACAGAAGCCTAGCTTTATTACTATTATTTTTTAAAATTTAGAGCCATTTAATGACAGCAGAATGCATTTGTGGTAGATGCTGTCAGACCGAGGGTGTCATTTAAGGTTTCATTGGAATGTTTTACAGGGTTTGACATTTACAATATGGAACACAGCTTTTAAGTATTTTTGAATCAGCAAAAAAAAAAAAAAAAAAAAAAACCAAAAATACCTTTATTTGGTCAAATAAAAAAGTATATATACATATTTTACACAAAATGTATACTTTGGAATTTAACATACCATGAATGTCTCTAGATGGATTCATTCCATGTACACAATTTGAAGGAATAGAAAATAGGAAAATGAAAATAATTGTTTGACTATATTGAGTTGATGAATTTCATTCTAATTTGAATGAATGCAAGTATTCCATGAATTCCTCTTCTCTCAGTCTCTCTCTCTGTCTCTCTCCCTCTCTGTTAGCTTATTGCCGCATACTTTATAGCACTGGAATTTTTTTTTATAATTTATCATCCAGCTTTGGCACAAAGATAGCTTAACACAGTAAATCATCAACTAAAAAATGAGCTGGTACACATTCACATGGTTTTATGCTCCTGCAACCAATGTTCCCATTGCCAGGTAATACTGTGTTTTTATCTCTCATGGAAACACCTCTTTTAAATCTTATGTGATGCAAATATTACTTATTCGATGAATATTTAAAAATACATCTGGAGGGAATAACAATGGATTAGAATTCAAGGTGAAATTAAAACCAAATCCTAACTTAATGCAAAAGCATTTTAAAATCTGTACTAGAATAGAAACTAGATGCAAGAAGTAAAACTAGGACCATTTTTAAAGTCATAAAATAACCAATTAGGAATACATCTTCTAAAAGAAACAAGCTCATAGATAAAGGTCTATTGATAACACATTTTAGAAATATTTTCCTCTGCTTGCTTTCCTTCTTTCTGTTAAGAGGCAGAATTGAAACCTCATCCCTGAAATAACAAATGATACCAATTATTATTGGAACTAATGGTCATATGACAATTTCCATATAGTAAGCACTATAAGCAAGCTCTCTGGACAGTTGCAGGCAAATCTATTAAGCAGACTCGTATGAAGCTGTTCTCTCTTCTCTGAATATCTGCTTGGAAGGTTCTGAATTTGAAATGACTCTATCAGCCTTGGCTATTGATAGTGGTCAGTAACTAATGAATAACAGAGAGGGAATACTATTTTTCAAAGTGTAAGGATTTCAACATTTCAAACAGCAGAACTAAAGCTTTCAACTCCGTCTACAATATTAAAAAAATATAGCTTAAAATGTGGAGAAAGGAGGTAATTATTTCAGATTTCCAGACGCTGCTTAAATAGGCAGGAGAACAAGATCTACAGCTCCTTAGTCTTTTACTTTTGCCAAAGCAACAGAACCAGTGGAGTAATAAGGGGTTCTGAAAGGTGCCCTGTGATGAGCGACTGAAGGAATTAAAAGTGAGTAGTCTCAGCAAAGCACCCTAAAAAACCTAAAAAACCGAGGTTGTGGTTTATACGTATGTAAAGTGATGCCATAGAGATTAAAAAAAAAAAAAAAAAAGAACCAGGTAGGAAACAATCATTTGCACTAGTCATCAGTGACAAAGTAAGACGTAGCAGTGAACCCTGAAAAGACCTGGGGCTGAGGGTTGGGGGCGACCACGGCAAGACTGACCAGACAGCTGAACTTCCCTTCCACAGACCAACGGCACCAGCACCTGGGTCTTTTCTCCTGAGACCCTGGAAAGCCTTTTCATGTCTGAGGCTGAGAAACAGGAGACACAGAGTGGGAAAGCAAGTGTTTTGTCTACACACCAAGTGTTTTAGGGATCCTCAAGAAAAGCCAATGAACTTTTTAAACCAAAAAACGAAGACAAGGACAGTGGTGTCTGAAAGGCACACACATTGTCTGTTGGAGGTGTTAACTGTGTCCTGTGTCAGTGGCCCAGAGAACACACCAAGAGCCGTGAAGTTGGGGGTGAGGACAGGAGGAAGAGGGTGTTTGTGGGTGAAGCCACCTCTGTGGAGTTTTGAAACAATATGCCCAAGGAGCTGTCAGAGAAGCTAGGGCCTGGTTCTGCCAGGGAGGAGATTTATGGCCTCACAACCGAGACCTGGGTTTGGCTGGCTCAGCCTGGGCGCCTCTGTCCCTCCCGGCCCCTCCCCCACTGGATGCCACCATGCCAGGCACTGGCCAAAATACGCTTTTATAATTTTTGCTCCGTGGATTCCTTGTACCAACATCATTGCCCCCACTTTGATACAGGGGAAACCTCACACATACACGGGTCTGTGCACAGGAACAGGAGTCCTACACGATGCTCTGAAGTTTAAACTCCAACCTCATCTTTCCCTGTGTCCTCCCTGGCTCATCATCTCCATCAGAACACACTCCTGGAGCTCTCCACCGCTGTACCTCAAAGATGAGTGACTTTGGCCTCACTCAGTTTGAAGAGGGGTCAAGGTCCGTTGACCTGAGAGCTTTTCCACTCGTAGGCAGTATGAAGGCTCCCTCTGCCTGGAGCACCCTCTCCCCTGAACCTTCTAGGCTCCTCCTGAGTCCTCACTCCAAGAGGCCTTCTGAGGGCTCTCCCAGAAGTGAAGCATTGCTCCTCCCCCAGCCTCCCTCAGTGGTGTCCTCTGTAGCAGGCCAGGTGCTATATCCCTGGGGTCAAAGGCACATGAGTAAGGGGGTAAGATGTCGTGGCTGCTGAGAGGCACGAATGCTGGTCCAGGGCGGTGGTAAGAGTGGACCCAGAAGGAAAAGGGGGAACTGGCTGGCTGGGCAAGACTTCTACCTCATAAAAGCATTATTAGACTTGACTCTTGGAGGCTGAGCAGGCGTTTGCCAGGCCGTTGCATGGGTTGCAGGGAGAGTTAGGGAGGCGGAGGGGTCAGAGGTCAGGGGAGAGCAAAGGGAGCAGCCTGACTCCACAGGTTTGGTAAAGCCTGAGACCCTACATTTCCAGCCAGCTCCCAATGAGGCAGCCGCTGGTGCTGGTAACACGATTATGTGTTACCCAGCAAACAGCCACACCCAGTACGCCCTGCAGCTCCTAAAAGATCCTCACAAAGAAGCAATTGTAGTAAAGTAAAAACAAAAACATGGAACAACTTTAAACCAGAGCCATGTTATTGGGTGGACAGGGGGATGGGATCAAAACTGGGGTGGAAAGAGTGCATGGGATGATGGTGCAGGCACATGGGTGGACAGGTGGTGGGAAGCCCACAGAGATTACACTGAGATGAAAAAAATGCACAAACTGAAGAATGATGTTAAAAACAAAAACAAAAACAAGGTTCTCACAATGGCACTGCTAAGTACAAGTTAAAACCCTCTACTGGACTTTCTGGACCATTGTCATGGACGAAACGTTCATGTACCCCACATTCTCATGTTGAAACCCTAGCCCATGTGACACGGGGAGGGGGAGGGGGAGTCCCTGAGATGCCATGCGGGAGATAAGGTCACAGGCCACAGGCTGGGCTTCTCTTCTCTCTATGTCCCTTCCTCGGCAAGCAAGATGGCGCCCAGCAAGATGGCGCCCAGCTGCAGGCCAGAAATAGACTCTCTCACCAGAACCCAACCAGCCGAGTAGCCTGTGGCAAATAAGTTGCGGTATGTCCCTCTTCCAGCACCCATCCTCACGCTGTGTCTGGCATTTTGTTCTAACAGCTAAAACAGCCACCATCAGAGAAATGACATCTTGCCTGTCAAGTACCCACCATGCCTCACGCTAAGTGCTTTGCATAAGCTATTCCATGCGCCCCTCTAGCAACAAGTGAACCACCGTTATCCTCCTCACTTTACAGACCAAGAAACCAGGATCTTGGATCGGCCAACTTCAAACCTCCGCAGTTTGCCTCGTGTGCTCCACTGTACCCCACGCACCCCAGCGTTATGCCAGACAGTTCAGGTGGTCACCTCACCACCAGTCAGATGCCACCCTGGATCTTAACAACCCTCTGAGGCAACAGGGCATTTGCTCTTATTCAATGCAGCAGCTGCACCGTCTAACACACGTCTGAGGTTTGTGATGGATGCGTGCAATTTCAGACCTTCCTGGAGCCACATTGAAAATGTGAACAGGTGAGATTCATTTTAATAATACATTGCATTTTATTTAGTGGAGCCCCATCATTCTCATCTCACTATGGAGTCAATATAAAATTACCGACATAGTTGACATCTTTTTACGCAGCCCGTCTTTAACTGACCCGGGCATGCTTCAATACTCTTTTGTCACCTGCGGCTGGTGGCTACCAACCTGGACAGTAATACAA